GGCTGGGGAAGGGAGATCTCATGTCGGGTGGCTCACAGGTCATGGGGGAGGGTTACTGGGGCTGCCCATGGCACTGAGGGTGGTGCTACTCCAATGGAGGCTAGATGCAGGGGGGGGTGGGGCTTGGCCTCCCCCTTTCTGGCACAGTGGCTGGAAGCTGGGGGAGGGATTTGGGAGGCAGGGGGCCACTTACCCATCACTGCCTGGTGCGGCTGCTGCCAGTGGTCACTCTGCAGTGTAGCTCTCCCCTGCACTCGCTGCCCCCTGTGGTCAAAATCTGTCACTGCTCTCAGGCCCCTCCCTTTCCGTGTTAGGGAACACAACCCCATTCCAGGCACTTCCCATTGTCCTGGCACAACCAAACCCCAACCTTGCTATACGTTAGGATGAGAGGCTGCTGCCTTCCAAATTTGGGGATCCTAACTTATCATTTGGATGGAATTCCTGAACACACAGACAGCTGGATGGACTCACACACAGACAGAGAGACAAATATACAATGACTCTTGAGGTCAAATATACAAATATACACACTCTCTAAAATGTCGCCACGGGGTGGGTTTGAGCCTGGGCCCTCTGAAGCTTGGTGTAGGAGCCTCTACAGCAGTGGTCCCCAGTGCGGTGCCCGCGGGCGCCATGGCGCTTGCCGGGCCATTTATGTGCACCCACGGAGCAATCTGGGCTGGCCCCACCCCCGGGTGTGCGGCAGGGGCCAGCCCCAGGCGCGCGACACCTGCCCGGGGTCGCGCACAGGAGCAGCGCTGGCCCTGGGAGCGCGGCACATGCGTGGCCCCGCCCTCGCGCCCAGGCACCTGGCGCATGAGTGGCTCCACCCCCGGGCACCCTGCAGCCCCAAAATTTGGAGACCAGTGCTCTTAAATATATAGAGATGATAATGTCACTAGTTCTCCAGTCACATGTTTGGGGTTTTTTTTGTGGGGGGGGAAAACTAAGAAAATCTTTTTAACATCACGGGTGGTTTTGCTCTGGAATGCCTTCCAAGGGATGTAGGGGAATCCCCAGGAGATGGTTTAGGAACAGGTTAGACAACCACTCTTCAGAGTTGGGCTAGATTCAGCTGGTCCTGCTTCAGCAGAGGATGCTGGAAGAGATGTCTCCCAAGCTGCTTTTCAGCCCCATATTTCTATGATTCTATGAAAATGCAATGTTGTTCTCCCACCTCTTTGGGTGCGTGGTTCTGTTCTTTTGGGCGCTGGAGAAGTGCATAAACATAACCACTGTTTTTCTCTCTTCTGCACTTCCCCACCTCTTTTAGAAGCAAACGAGATACAGCTGTTCAGAAGCAAGTTTGCCACCATAAACATGTCTTACACAAAGAAAGATATCGAAGAACTACTCACCAAAGCAAAGAAGAACGTATCCAACAACCAGGAGAAGATACTGAAGGAAATCAATGAGATTGTGTCCTCGCTTGCCCCCAAATAATTTTAAAACCTCGTCTCTTTTTGTTCTAGATAGATAGATAGATAGATAGATAGATAGATAGATAGATAGATAGATAGATAGATAGATAGATAGATAGATAGATAGATAGATAGATAGATAGATAGATAGATAGATAGATAGATAGATAGATAGATAGATAGATAGATAGATAGATAGATAGATAGATAGATAGATAGATAGATAGATAGATAGATAGATAGATAGATAGATAGATAGATAGATAGATAGATAGATAGATAGATAGATAGATAGAGGGGGTGTGTGGGGATAGATAGTACATGTTGATTATTAGATGAATAAATAGATCAATAGTAGTTAATGGTAACACAGATGGATCATCTCAAGATCATCCCACTTGAAGAAGTAGGTTTTGCCCAGGAAAGGTCATGATACTATATATATACATACATGAATTTGTTAGTCTCTAAGGTGCCACAGGATTACCTGTTATTAAATAGATAAATTCATATGCAAAAGTTATGAAAAGTAGATAGAATTTTTAAGACACTTACACATACACGCCATCCTCCTGGGTTGACGACACATCTTGATACTGCTGAGACCATTCAGAGATGAAGGGCTTTTTCTTCAAATGTACCCTCCCCCCACACCCAAAAAAGAGTTCAGCTCTTTCACGCTTGCTATCTGGTCACCCTACATCCTTTTCACGCAGACATTGATGCTGTGCAAAATGTTAACATTGCAGCTGCCTAACAAGTACGTGTGCCATGTGTGACAATAACCCTCGGCAACCCTCTTTCCTTCCACGTGATGAATATTAAATAAATAAACTAGAATTCCCCGTTATTTTTCACCCCATGAGCCTCGTCAATAGCTTCGGAGGATTGCCCAGTAATTAAGAGCACAAAGGACTCCGTTTCGGATCCCCTTGCTCATACGGACTTGCTGCTTTATACCACAAGGCCTTTCAGTGGCGCTGTTACTCGATGACAGCACGAGGGTCGGAAGTCTGTGGGAGTTGCAACAAACAGGGAAGAACCCTGGGGTAGTTGCTACAGGGCAGTGAAATACTCAGGCTGCTGTGGAAAGAGATGGACATGGGACAGAAAGAGGGCTCAGCTTTGGTCAATAACTGTATCCTGAGTTGTTCTCCAGCTATGCAGCGTTTGACACCACCACAGAGACATTGGTTCTTGTGAGTTAAAATGATCCTCCAGCAGAGGGTTTTGTAAGAATGCAGGTTTGTCATCGAGTCCAGCCCCCTGCCCAAAGCAGGACCAGAACCTTGTACCAGGGTCTTCTTAGAATCCTAGAATCCCAGGGCTGGCAGAAACCTCAAGAGTCATTGAATTCAACCCCCTGCCCAAGGCAGGACCAACCTCGACTCAATCATCCCAGCCAGGGCTGGTCAAGCCGGGACTTCAACACCTCTAGGGATGGAGATTCCACCCCCTCCCTAGGGAACCCATCCCAGCGCTTCCCCACCCTCCTCAGGAAATAGTTTTTCCTAAAATCCAACCTAGACCTCCCCCACTGCAACTTGAGACCATTGGTCCTCATTCTGCCCCCACTGAGAACAGCCTCTCTCCATCCTCTTTGCAACCCTCCTGCAGGGAGTTGAGGGCTGCTCTCAAATCCCCCCTCACTCTTCTTTTCTGTCTGAAAGGATATGGTAAAGCCTGGGTAAAGCCTACCCAGGATGTCAAAAGAGCACTAAGTTAGGGGTAAGTAAAGGAAAGGAAGCATTGTTAGGATACAGGAGACATGAGCAAAAAAACAGAATTTGATTGGATGATCAATAATAACCCCGCTTTTAGGGAAGTTAACTAACACAGACTGCAATATGTAGCAAAGTGCTGATAACCCCAAATGGAACAGACAAAAGTCTAAAGGGCAAAAATAGACGGCAAAAAGACCGATGTCAGCATAGTCAGGCGAGTGGAAAAATGTATATAAGGTTGAACAGAATCAGATTCGGATGGAAGGGTTGCGAATCCAAAAAGCCAGGTCTGATCAACCAAGTGGCTCCCTTCCATGCGCTGAATCTCACTGCCTCACATAAGCTCTGAAAGGGGAACACCAGTCGTAAGTTGCAACAAAAAATCCGAAAGGAAGAATACAGAAAAGAATATCTCCTGAATCTAAACAGCTGATGAAAGTGTTTGCTCCCCCCCAACCACTGTGAAGCTCTGTTTATGGTATGTCAACTCTAGCTACTTTGTGTACGGTGGGTAAGAGAAGCCAGATCTAAGGAAGAACCGAGAGAGTAGACACTGCACCCGTAGATCGAAAAAAAATTGCGTCACTTATTACAAGTCAATTTTGAAATAGCCTATAAAAAAAGAGGATTCTACCCCTTTAAAAACCGCGGGCAGGCTTTTTGGTCACATTGGGCTCTCATCAGCTGCCACCATCTTGAGGGCACCATTTTGCCATGCCAGACAGCTCCCCGGCTTCATGGGAGTTGGAGGACTTTGTGAGCCGTACTTTCAGGGGTGAAGAGCCGCTTGCTTTGCGAGTCATGGGTTGACTACCCCAGGTCTAGGAGACTCTGTGTGTCGTGAAAATAATCGATTTTCTGTGAGCTTTGCACAATGCATCCTTGACCTCTCTATTTCTCAGGCTGTAGATCAGGGGGTTCACCAGTGGTGTCAAGACCGTGTAGCAAAGGGAGAGCACTTTGTTCAGGGCTTGTAGTGTGTCATGGTTCGGGAGCACGTATACAATGATTAGGGTCCCGTAGAAAATGGTCACCATGATGAGGTGGGAGGAGCAGGTGGAAAAGGCCTTTTGCCTCCCGGTGGTGGATGGGATCCTTAGGATGGTGGCAATGATGCATGCGTAGGACGTCAGAGTCAGTAGGAATGGAGGCAAAGTGAATAAAAAGGCCAGGATGAAATCCAACAATATGATCAGGCGGGTGTCCCCGCAGGAGAGTTGGATCAAGGGGGTGACATCGCAGTAGAAATGGTCAATTTCTTTGGGGCCGCAGAATATTAACTGTGACATGAAGAAGACCAAGAGAGCAATAGCGAAAAAACCATTTAACCAGGACCCCACAGCCAACTGGAGGCAGAACCTGGGGTTCATAAGTGTTGAATAGCGCAGGGGTGTGCATATGGCCAAATACCGATCGTAAGACATGGCTGCCAGGAGGTAGCATTCTACACATGCCAGAGAACCAGAGAAATACAGTTGTGTGAGGCAGCCACAGACTGAGACGCTTCTGTCCCCCGTCAGGATCCTGGCCAGCATCCAGGGCAGGATGGAGGAGCTGTAGCAGGTCTCCAAGCAGGACAAGTTCCCTAGGAAGAAGTACATGGGGGTCCGAAGGTGCTGATCGGCCACCACTAGCACCACGAGGAGCGTGTTTCCCACCAGGGTTGAGATGTAGATCACTAGGAGCAGCAGGAAGAGAAGAATTTGCAGGTCAGCGAGATCCCCAAATCCCAGCAGGATGAATTCCGTGACGGACGTTTGATTTCTCCAGTCTGTGTCGGCCATGGGCTGAGTGTAGGCACAGTAGTGCTGCAACCTAATCAGAGGAGCATGGAGGTAAATTTAAAAGGTCCAGTGAATTAATTTCAAAGTCAAATTAACTTAGTCTGCAGAAGAGAAGAGTGTGGGTGGAGGGAGGGAGGGAGGGGGATTTGAGAGCAGCCTTCAACTCCCTGAAGGGGGGTTGCAAAGAGGATGGAGAGAGGCTGTTCTCAGTGGGGGCAGGTGCCAGAATGAGGAGGAATGGGCACAAGTTACAGTGGGACAGGGCTAGGTTGGACATTAGGAAAAACTATTTCACTAGGAAGGTGGGGGAGTACTTGGATGGGTTCCCTAGCGAGGGGGTGGAATCTCCACCCCTAGAGGTTTTTAAGTCTGGCTGGACAAATCCTTGTTTGAGATGATTGAGTTGGGGTTGGTCCTGCTTTGGGCCAGGGACTGGACTCAATGACCTTCCAAGGTCTTTTTCAATGCTTTGATTCTAGAGTTCTATGAAAATCTCTTTCCTCTCCTGGATAGATCGAGGGAATTTAAGGCTAAGTGTAGACTTCAGAGGAAAGTGCAAGAAATCTTGGTTTGGGGACAGAATAATGGTCACCAGCTACCATACTGGAGTAATGACTACCACTACCACCCATTCCTCTGGTAGCCAGCTATTGACACGACAAGTCAATCCACTTCTTTATCCCATCTAGTGACAAAATGGAACTGAATAATGATGCTTCAATGCTGCTCTTCACTTCTGGACATGGCGGAAAGCTGGCCAGGTCTCTGGAGTCCAAGCGTATGGGGGTAGTTGTGCTCATCTGGTTCAGCAAACCAAGGGGTCGACTGGCACCTCAGGGTACGTCTAGACTACCGCGTTTTGTCAACGGAAGTTTTGTCGACAGATACTGTTGACAAAACTTCCGTCGACAATTTGCGTCCAGACACATGGAGTTCTGTCGACAAAGCAAGCCGCTTTGTCGACAGAACTCCATAGTCTGGACGCAACGTTACAGGCAATAACACCTTCTGTCGACAGAGTTCTGTCGACAGAAGGTGTTTTGCCTCGTAAAATGAGGTACACCAGCGTCGACAAAACCACGGAGTTCTGTCGACGTTATGTCGACAGAACTCCGCGTTAGTGTAGACGCTGGTATTGTTTTGTCGACAAAAGTCCACTTTTGTCGACAAAACTAGGTAGTCTAGACACACCCTCAATGACTAACAAAATTACTGTGCCTGTAAGGTATCGTGGGCTAGGATAAGCACACTGCAAAGCTGTCTGAGTTACTTCACTACGCAGAGGACCAATGCTAACAAATCACATCGAGTATACACATCCCGTAAAATCTTGGCAGAAGACTTTTCAGTGCGGTTTAGTGTCCACAGGCACTGACACTGTTAGAATGATAGGAATGTGTTCTAACCATTTCATAGAATCACTGAATCCCAGGGCTGGCAGAGACCTCAGGAGTCATCAAGTCCAACCCCCTGCCCAAAGCAGGACCAACCCCAACTCAATCATCCCAGCCAGGGCTTTGTCAAACCAGGAGTGAAACACCTCTAGGGATGGAGATTCCACCCCCTCCCTAGGGAACCCATCCCAGTGCTTCCCCACCCTCCTAGGGAAATCGTTTTTCCTAATATCCAACCTAGACCTCCCCCACTGTAACTTGAGCCCATTGCTCCTTGTTCTGCCACCTGCCCCCACTGAGAACAGCCTCTCTCCATCCTCTTTGGAACCTCCCTTCAGGGAGTTGAAGGCTGCTCTCAAATCCCCCCTCACTCTTCTCTTCTGCAGACTAAACAAGCCCAAGTCCTTAACCCTGTCTTTGTACGTCATGTGCTCCAGCGCCCCATATCACATGCATCTGACGAAGTGGGTCTTTGCCCATGAAAGCTTATGCTCCAACACTTGAGTTAGTCTATGAGTTGCCACAGGACTCCTCGCCGCTTTTGCAGATTCAGACTAACACGGCTACCCCTCTGATACTCATCATTTTTGTTGCCCTCAGCTGGACTTTCTCCATCTACCCTGATAGATTCAGCATTTCAGTGCTTGGTAGGGGAAGAGATGATTTTCACCCATCGAAAGAGAGTCATTAATGCCACCAATTATGGAGCAGCTCGCGTAACGGGGAGCAGGACATGCTGAGGAAATGGCCATTGTGTTTGTGTTTCAGATGAGAACTCGTGTTAACTGTGCCACGCCATTCCACCGCAACTCGTTTTGTGGGTCGGTTGTAGGGAGGTTGGAAATCTGCCTAGTTTTACCCCTTAACTGTGGAGCAGCTCCCCACTGCCTCATGCGTGTGGGTTAATGGGTCAAGAACGAGAAGGACGGGTGAAGGAAGATGCTGCCCCTGTGCTAGACGCAATCTGCCATGTACTACCTGTCACCTAGGGTAGTGTCGTTTTCTCCCCACCCAATGGGGACTTGCTCTTGAGTTCCATGAAAACTAGCGGTTCCCACCGAAGACCCTCAATGTTCTCTACCTACTAAAGACTTTCTTGAGGGCAGGTGCAGGGGAGAATAATGGAGCTAGAAAAAACTACCCTGTAAAAGGGGATTGGAGTGGTGAGGAGCGTTGCCTTGGAGGGGAGAAGGATTGGAGGGAACATAATAAAAGTCAATAGTAAAATGATCTGGAGAAGGTAGAATGGGGAACGGCTGTTTTCTCTGCCCCATTCTACAAGAGACAGGGGAACATGTGATGAAATTCAAAGGTGTGACACTTAAATCTATACAATGAAACGCTTTGTTCATACAATGAGCAATGAAATGGATGAGCCAGCAATGCCCCTCTGCCATGTACATTGCCCAAGTTGGACGGCCGCTACGTGAAAGAAAAAATGGACACAAATCCGACCTCAAGAACGGTGGGAGAACACGTCAGTCTCCCTGGCCACTGAGTGACAGACATGGAAGTTGCCATCCTTCAGCCAAAACCTTGACAAAACAGACAGCAGCGGGAAACTGCCTCGCTGGGATTCACGAGCAAACTTGCACCACCCGGCATGGTCTGAATGAAGACTGGGAGCGGCTGGCTCCGTGCAAAAGGGATTTGTACCCTTTTGGTTTTCTCACCTGCTCACGTGATGGGATCCACCTTGACTGAACTGAGCTCATTAGCATGGTCCTCCAAACAGTAGTGTAACTTGCCCATCTTTGAACCTAAGAACAGCCAGACTGAGTCAGACCAAAGTATCATCCAACCCAGTGTCCTGTCTTCTGACAGTGGCCAATGCCAGGTGCGCCAGAGGAAGTGAACAGAACTGGTAACCATCAAGTGATCCCTTCCTTGTCACCCATTCCCAGCCTCTGACAAACAGAGGCTTGGGAGACCATGCCTGCCCATTCTGGCTAATGAATATGGATGGACCTCCATGAATTTATCTAGTTCTTTTTTACCCCTGTTAAAGTCCTGGTCTTCACAACATCCTCTGGCAAGGAGTTCCACACGGTGACTGTGTGCTGAATGAAAAAAAAAACCTTCCTTTTGTTTGTTTTAAACCTGCTATCAATTCATTTCATGCAGTGATCCCTAGTTCTTATGTTAAGGGAACAAAGTAAATAGCTTTTCCTCATTCGTTTTCTCTGCACCTGTCATGATTTTATAAACCTCTATCCTATCCCCCCTCAGTCTCCTCTTTTCTAAGCTGAAAAGTCCCAGACTTTTTAATCTATCGTCATATGGGACCAGTCCAAACCCCTAATTATTTTTGTTGCCCTTTTCCAAACTTTTTTCAATGCCAAGATTTTTTTTGGAGATGAAGCGACCACATCCGTACACAGTATTCAAGATGTGGGCGTACCATGGATTTATACAGAGACAATAAGATATTTTCTGTCTTATTCTCTATCCCTTATTTAATCATTCCTAAAATTCTGTTTGGTTTTTGACTGCTGCTACGCATGTAGCAGATGTTTTCTGAGAATTAGCCAGTGACGGCAAGATTTCTCTCTGGAGTTGTTAGCAGTTCGTGTGAGTATCTGCCAAACTGAAGCTGCCATATCATACATCTGACCCTGTGGTTTCCAGCCTAAAACAGCATATGCCCAAATAAAATTGTACTTCCTTAAGGCGCCTCCAGACCCCATGCTGCTTTTAATTAAACTGTGGTGTTGGCAAAGCTGGTGCCCTGCCCCTCTCCGTTAGACACTCCCAGATTCCCAGCTAGAATGAGTCATGCTCACTTGTGGGTCAGCATCGGTAAATCGGAGAAGGATGGGTGTCATGGTTGGACTCTATGGAACGCTAGTCCCTGGCTTCCAGCGTCAATCTCACTTGGCGTTTCTGTTCCGTATGGTCACTGAACGATAGACGGTTTTGGGGAATATGAATCACCAGGCAGGGGAGTGACATTAATGAGTGAGAAGAGCGGCTCTTTCACAGACCTGGTTAAGCCTCTCCTGAAAAAGGTGACTGGGCATTTCCAGAGCGAGTAAGGAAAGATTTTACGAATGGAAACTCCCAGTGGGTGTGGATAGAAAAACTCTCAACAAACGGACTCACGACTCTTCTTGTTCTGCTTACTTCCCCGGGAAGATGAATTGTGGGACTGGACTGAGTTTGCAGCTCAGAGCAGATGGCTGGAGGGGGATAGAAACCCCAAACCAAAGGTACTAGGAGTCTCTATTCCGATTGAACACTTATGGAGTCATACTGTCACAGAATACTGGAAGGGACCCCAAAAAGTCATCAAGTCCAGTCCCCTGCCCTCACAGCAGGATTAAGCACCCTCTAGATTAAAAGGCATGTAAGGAGGTTGAATTTTAAAAATGAAATTAGGGGGATGAGAGGTCATTTGAAGATTACAAGGTCTTCATTAAAATAAATAGGGAGATTGTGGAATCTCCATCACTGGAGCAGATTAGACAGACACCTGTCACAGAACATTAGAACTGGAAGGGACCTTGAGAGGTCAAGTCCAGTCCCCTGTCCTCATGGCAGGACCAAGCACCATCTAGACCAGCCCTGACAGGTGTCTGTCCAACCTGCTCTTAATTATCACCAGAG